CTCAGACTTTCTTCTGACAACAACCCTGTCAGGTAGATCGGGCTGAGAAAAAAACAACCGAATGCATACATAACTGCTCTGGCTTTCCTAGCAGAATGTGTTCTCGCCAGAAGCATGTGGACCTCCTGGTTTTAACTTCTGTTCATAGGCCTTCCACCCAACCTTTTGAACAGTATAGAAAAGTTAATGACTTTTGTGTTTGCTTTCACCATATCAAGCAGTATACAAACATTTTAGATAAATAGATTAATTTTTTCCCATGATCCCTGTTAAATAACCTAACAGAGAGTTTCCAGTTGCCTCTAACTTTGATCTCATCTAGAAATTTCTCAGATTCTACCCAGATTCGTCACAAATAGCAACCAAAAAGATTTTCTGTCTCCTGCAGGCATGAAAACAATCCATGACCCGAATGCGCCTGAGATCTCAATTGTGAATCAATATCCACAAGAGTTTATCCATTTTTCAGGGCTTTTTGGCAGCCTGTGGTAGCGCAAACCAGCCCAGAAATCCCTTCCATATTAGGTGAGAGGGAAACCGCTCTTTCTTACTTTCCATCCAAAGTGTCTGTGCGATCATTGACCTGGCGTTCCTCCTCTTGATATCCATTCTTATTTTGAAGAAGGGCCATGGATATTATGGGAAAGGACTGAAGTTTGGCATTAGCCTGCGGAAGGCTGTGAGTTTGATTCCTAGCCTCTCCTGTTAAAAGGATCGTGTGGAAAACAAGAAGGGAAAAGGGTCCCGTCTCAGCCTCCAACCCTCAACAGCTGGGTTGGTGCCTCACTAGACGATGATAATCCATTCCACTGAAATCGCTGTTTAGCGAAATCATCATCTAGCAAAAAGCATTTCCCCATTGGAATGCATTGAAACCTGTTTAATGCATTCCAATGGGGAAGAATTGTCGTTGTCTAGCAAAGATCAGCCATAGGAAAGCCACTTTGCGAACTGCCAATCAGCTGTTTAAATCACTGTCTTGCGAAGCTAAGGTCCCAAAAACACCCATTTTGCAAGTGCAGAGGGAGCTGTCAAAATTGTCGTCTAGCGAAAATTGGTTTGCGAAACAGGGACCAAACATTGTCCAGCGAAATTCCCCCATAGGAATCACTGTTTTGCGAATTGCTATAGTGATCACAAAAAGCCAATGTCTAGTGAAAAAACTGTCATGCGGGGTAATCGTCTAGCGAGGCACCACTGTAGACTGTTCTTGGAAGAGATGGACAAACAATCCACCTGAGATAAGGCAATAGGGCGGCAAAAAGGGATCGCACGGCTGTGCCTTTAATGGCTGTGTGGGGCAGGGAATTTCAGCAGGGACAGCTTCCCACACAGGCCCTGCCTGCTGAGAAGAAACACCTGCTGGGAAAAAAAAGGCGGGGGTGTGCAGGATATTCAGCCAGTATGGTATAGTGAGCAGAATGGATTGGGATTCATGAGACCTGGGTTCAAATCCCTGCTCAGCCACGGAAACTCATTGGGGAAGAGAAATAGCAAACTGCTCCTCTCATGTATCTCAAAAACTCCATGAAGTTAGAATTGAGTTGATGGCGCATAACGTGTGCTCAGTGGAGAAAAGTCTCCATCTATGCCATGTGTAAGAGAAGCATGTGACCTACAAACCTGCACGGCGAGTATGGGGGTGAAATCAGAAGAGCCGAAAGGAGCAGGAATGATAAAGTTGAAAACCGGAAGATAATAACGCTGGGGCAGACTTGACAGCACATAACCCTAACATATAATATATAACCATGTGCTATACATACACATTAATGTTATATAATGCATAATAATAATTCTTCTTATGTGCTGGCAAATCATCTCCAACCCATCGTAACGCTATGAATGCGTCACATCCAAAATGTCCTGCTCATCTCCTACAAACTCAAGGCCAAGGGTTCCTTTATTGAGCGAATCCATCACACTTTAAACTTCCTCTTTCCCTGTTGGCTTTCTCTAACATTGTCAAATTACATGCTGTCAGTTCTGACTCATGGCAACCCTTTCTCGTGTTTTCTAGATGCAGACTACACAGAAGTGGGTTTCCCAGTCCCTTCTTCTGGGGCTGCCCTGGGACGGAGCAGCTTGCCCAAAGCTACACCAGCTGGCTCTTTTCCCTAGAGGCCCAGTAGAGGATTCAATTCCCAACCTCTACCTCCTCATCAACAGACTCATTGAGATGTATATGGGCTGATTTGTCAAGTTCCCAAGGATTTGATGGCCAGGGTCCTATTGATAGCCCCAGACACACTGAATCAATTCCTGGATGATTAGTCAATGTTTATTTAAATTCCATTAAGTCCTCGAGTCTACCCTAATCAGGGCTAGCAACACGATATTGGCCAACAGTCTACTCTCATTTGAATTAATAACTAGATTAACTTTAAAAGTTTCCTTCAACCTTTTCTTCCCCCCCCTCTCTGTTTTTGCTATTAATAATTTTAATTATGGGTCCAGGTGTTGTTATTCTCTTTTTTTTAAAGGGGGGGAGCTACTTCCACACCAGTGCTAAATGGATAAGATTCCTGCTCTCTCTGTGATATGCAGGCTGACTTCTAAATATTACTTGATGTCACAGTCGTACCTGGGGTGAAGTGCCTGGGTCTCTGCGCCAAGGCACCAAAATCTAGAGGCGAGTCTACTTGTGTGTAGAAAATAAATGGCAGTCCCTCTCAGCCTTACCATGTATGCTGGACAGTTAAGAAAGGTGACAAGGAAAAAAGGATTCATTTGAAATATGGTGCTGGAGGAGAGCTTTTCGGATATCCTGGACAGCCAGAAAGATGAACAAGTGGGTCCTAGATTAAATCAAGCCTGAACTAGCTCTAGAAGCAAAAAATGTTGAGCCTATCCTCCTTCGGGCACATCATGAGAAGACAAGATTCTCTGGAAAAGACCATGATGCTGGGAAAGGTGGAGGGCAGCAGGAAAAGAGGAAGACCAAGTATGAGATGAATTGACTCCCTAATTCAACGGAGTTGAGTCTAGGATATTGTGGGGACTGCTCATTCGTGATTTTGTCATAAGTTGGAGCCGATTTGACGGCACTTAATAACCATCACCACCTCCGAGCCCTATTCGTTCTCCTATCTTCTTTTAATGTAACCCTAAACGTTATCTTTCTTTGGAGGAGTACGCCATATTCTGCTCCTCATTTTTTGGGGGGAGGCGCTTACACTGACGACTCAGAGCAGGTTGGGGCGATGATGTTACGCGCCCCAAATGACCAAATGGCTAGTTAGGGCTCTCCTTCCGAACAGACTCCGACAGCCCTGCAGAGTGGACGCGCGGGGGGGGGGCAGGCAGCCCCTTTTCGGGTTCCGTCGCAGGGAGCTCCCGACTTATGCCCTCGCCCCGTCCTCCGAGTAGCCTCCGAACGTTACTTTCGCTTCGACTCCAGTGTCCAGAATCCTAGCGACCCAATTCAGAGACTTGGGAGTCTCAACTAACCAAACGTTTCCAAGGGAAGGTTTTGGGGCGGTTGGAGCCCCCGGTAAAGGGGATTCTGAGCCTTACTGTCCAAAGAAATGTAACGCCTCAAAGAGAGGACGTTCCGGGTGCTAGTGTCCAAAAGAAAGTAACGTTCCCCAGGGGAGAATCTGAGAGTCGGGTCCAAAGTAAAGTAACGTCTCTAAGGGAGGAGATTCAGGGGCCTGGAGTCCAAAGGAAAAGTAACGTCCCCAAGGGAGAGGATTCTGGGAGGGGAGTCCAAAGTAAAGTAACATTTCCAAGACAGGGGATTCTGAGCCTTCCTGTCCAAAGGAATGTAACGCCTCAGAGAGAGGACATTCTGGGTGCTAGTGTCCAAAAGAAAGTAATGAATCTGGGAGTCGGATCCAAAGTAAAGTAACGTCTCGAAGGGAGGAGATTCAGGGGGCTGGAGTCCAAACGAAAAGTAACGTGCCCTAGCAGGGGGAGATTCTAGGAGTCGGGGTCCAAAGAAAAGTAACGTCTCCAAGCGAGGGGCTTCTGGGCGCCGGAGTCCAGAGAGAAATAACTTTCCCACGCGGGAGAGGTCCTGGGGGTCGGGTCCTCAGGAACGGGAACGTCCGCCAAGCTCCGGGTCGCACCCTGGCGGACCCCCGCCTCAGAGGGACTGGAGGCGTCGCTCAGCCTTTCCCCCGCCCTCCCCGGGGGAGATGATGGCCAGCCGAAGCCCGGGGAGAGAGGCGGGAAGAGAGGAGGAGGAGGAGGCGAAGAGGCAGCCGCCGGAACAGCTGCTTACACTTTGCTGACACGGGCGATTCGTAGTTGAACAGAGAGACACACACACATACACACACACACACACTCACGCACACGTCCTTGAGCCGGAGAGAGGAATCTGTCGCCCATCGAGAGAAAGCGAGAGACCGACTGGGCTTTAAAGGGGCCGAGCGCAGGACAGCCTCCGCGGAAGAAGGGGATCTCGGAGCGCCCGGGGGTCTCCCTCCTCCTGCCGGGCTCTTGGACCGAAGCGAGAAGAAAAGTCAAGAGAGGGGAAAGCGGGTAGGGGATGCTTTGGTGGAGGGGCTGCTGAGCGGGAGGGGATGGTTGGAAAGAGGAGGAGGAGGATGGGCCGGCCAGAGTGACCTCCCTCCCTCTCTCCCTTCCTCTCCTCTCCCCCCCCCCATATATCTCTACGGGAGAGCTTTTGGTTTGCGGGGGGGGGAAGGTCTGCTGAGCCAGCATCGGGTCCAGAATGACCCCCAGATCACCGCAATGGCCAGCCAGGCGAAAGAAAGAGGCGGTGGTTCTGCTGACCCTTTTGGGAACTTGTCTGCAGTTTGACGGGTCCCCTTTCTCTTGAGAAATGGTGCATGGACAGGACAGGCTTGATTTGAATTCTGTTATCCTCCCTGGTCACATTGCTCTGAGGACCCAAGACACCTTTTGAGTTTCAGGGATGCATCCAGGAAACTCCGAGGCGGTAGGACCCTGGACCTTCATTGTCCCACCGCAGAAGGTGACTTCTGGCAGAGCAGAACCCATCATGATCGTGCCTGGGGTTCCTGCTGCCGCTGCCGCCACTGCCGCCACTGCGGCCGTCACCACCGCGACTGCTCCTGCCACTGCCACCAGTGCCGCGACCAGCCAGTCCAGGATGGAGAACTTCAGGAAGGTCAAGACCCTGGAAGAAGAAAGCTCCGTACCTTTTTTGGACTTGCCTTCCAACGTGGTGGAGATGAAGGTGAAGGAAGGCAGCAAAATCCGGAACTTGATGGGCTTCGCCATGGGCAGGATGGAGTTGGCGGACACGCGACAGATTGTCTTCAGGGGTTACGGCCGGGCAGTCACCAAGACAATCACCTGCGTAGAGATCATGAAGAGGAAGCTTGGGGGTCTCCACCAGGTCACCAAGGTACAATACAAAACTCTGCTGGAGGTCTGGGAGAACAACGACCCCCAGGTAGAAGGCCAAGTGGAACATCTCACCGTCCACAAGAACGTCCCTTCCATCTGCATCCTGCTCTCCAAAGACCCGCTGGATCCCAACCAGATGGGTTACCAGCCCCCCGATTCCCCCAAAGGCTTCTGGCCGGATGAAACTAGCAGCCAACAAGATGGATCGGGTGCTTCCCCAAAAGGCATGAAGAGGAGGTTGGTGGTACCCTACAGAGAGGATCGGGTGAACAAGAAGGCACCGGTGCAAACACTCCAGGAGAACTTGGGGGTGGTGATGGGCTGTGGACCCTGACAGCATCCCAGTCTTGCGCAACTGAGACAAAAACCCAAGCCATATGTCACTTACACAGGGACCACTGGTTTGTGTGGAGGCACAGAGAGATGTTGGAGGCACTCTAGATTTGTAGATGCTTTGCAATCAATTTTTTTAAAAGGCAATGGAGCTGCTGCTGCTGCTTTGGCTGGTAATGGCCTTGTACGGTCTTTCTCCCGCAGAGACGCATTCTGGAAGAAAACTTTGCATGAAAGATGCCCTCTTTTTCCAACGCCCGTCTGCTGATTGATTCAGGGGATCAGGAGATCTGACTACATAGAAGGTGAAAGATGGTCAATTTAGACAGGATGCAGGTGTGCGATAAAAGAGAGGCATGGGGTGATATCGGGGCGACACGGTTTTGCTTGCGTGAGGTTGCACTTGAGCCATTTTTTACATGCCAGGTGAATTAGAGGGCATAGCGTCTTTGGCATGCTCAGGGGCTACTTGGTAGCACATGTGGTGAGAGATTCCAGAAAGGGATACTTATACTCCCTTTCTCTTCTCAAATAAAGGACAAACACATTTGGCTGTTTAATCTGGAAGGGAAAATAAAGCCCCAAAGAGTATGTCTGTCTCTGAATTCTAGAGGGTTCACTTCATATGGTTTTTGCAGGGGGTGGAGAAGACCAAATATCTCGCTGTAGCTTAAAGACCAGCAAATGTATTGTTTCACTGTAGTTTTTGTGAACTACAGCCTGCTTCAGCATTTGAAAAAAACTGAATGGTGTAAAGAGATGAATGCATAAAAGCTATTAATTATCTTTTGAAGACTTTCTAAAATAGAGAGGCAACCCTGAGTAAGGCAAGGCGGGAGCAGAGGTTGTGAAAATGTTTGAAGCGCCAGCTGGTCTCTCATAATGAATCTATGTCTAAATCAGTCTAGATTACTTTCAACAATCTTTATTGTAAGAGTTTGTTCATTCTATAGCACCTATTTCTTTATCTCCTGTGATGGCTAAAGGGGGTGTTACACAGTTTTAATAGCATGCCTGCAGTGGAGAAAGCAGACAGAAAGTCTTTCTCAGGGGTCACCTGAATTGGTACAGAAACAAGGGCTTTGCATAATGCTCAGATACTCATAATCAGAAAACGTGTTCACATAAATGGAAATGATGGATTCAAGAAGCTGAGGGTTCTTCCTTCCTTCTTCTTTTTTCTGTAAAAAGAGTAAGCAGCACAATCGCTGCATCTTAAAAATACTGCTGCTACTATTTCCAGTTCAAAAACGATACAAGGCAAATCTTGTTTTGAATTCTCCCAAGTTAGAAAGCCAACATCAGTCCTGAGGCAAAGCAACTGTTTTCATTTATTTGCATAAGAAAGAGAAAGGATTAAGGGTCTTGCAGAATATTTCCTACCCTGATCACAAACCAGTCTCTGCTGGGAGTAGGGAGATGCCCTCCCAATAGAAAGATATGCGTGTGCCAGGAAGCCTCCCGACAACCCAGGCCGGTCACTTGGATGGTCCTTGCAAGCAAATTTGCTACTTGTGGTACACCGTCTGCTAGTTTTCTGATCCATCATTGTTGTGAAGAGGTAACGGCCAAGGGACCAAATCTGTCTCTGTTGAATTGTGCCAATGTTTGTTTGGTCCTTGGTTAGCAGAACTTCTGCCAGTTCAAAGCTGGCCAAAAAAAGAGAGAGGATTGTCAGAAATTTGGTCTGGGATCTGGGGAATATTTATAATCAAGGAGAAGGCAAACCCAGATGACCCCTTTCTCTCCCAGAGCAAAAGCTCAATTTCATCTTATTTCCCAGTAATGCTGCCACCAAATTTCTCTTAAAATGAATCGTTTCACCTGAAACAAGTTAGTGACTCGGGTGTGAGACCCTTTGCACTCTGCACATGTTCTGTAAAGCCAGTCGGTGCTTGTGTCACCACAAGGATTTCCCACCCTGTTTCATCTGGGGTGGAAATATGGTCCACCCAGTTTGATCCCAACACTATATAACCAGCCTGTGTCTCTCTGATGGTTCCATGGATTATATGGTAAAGAATGTTTTTTGTGAGAACCAGGTCAATAGTTCCTAATGCTGTGTTTTTGGCTTTGTCCTGTCTATGGGCGTTTACACCAAGTCCTCTCAACCATGCCTTTCATGGTACCAGTATTTCATTTACACCAAGTCCCAACCATGCCTTTCATGGTACCAGTATTTCCGTTTGGTCCTTCCTGGACAGGATTGGGTAAATATTCATGTACTGCACTCCCACCTACATGTCTTCTGCCCTCTGAAGGGTCATAAGACCCATCCCTTCTAAGTGTACCTGGCAGTGTTTCCGGAGGCTCTTCCCCAGCTCTATTTATATTTGAAGAATGCTTTGGGGAACGTTGGCCAGAATTCTGTTGCCCAAGAGCACAACTAGCTTCTCATTAATGGGAGGCCATTTGCTGCCAAGACTTACGCAATTAGGCAAGAATGAATTGGCAATAAGATTCTGGCCATTGGCTTCAGGACCTGACCAACTTTTCGGAGGCAGCACAGTGTCTGATTTTCAGATGTACAGTGATCACTCTCAAAGTGACGCTGAAAGAGTCAATTCAGATCTTGCTCTGAAGCATACCATTTCATTTCATTGCCCTTCCAGGCTGCAGATCACATTAACACAAGAACAGCTGGGGCCAGGTGTATGGCGTGGCTACTTTGCTGCTTGCTGGTTCTACTCGTAGGAATTGATTGTTCTCGATCATCCCAGAGTGCAGGACACACATCAATGGGCTCAAATTAGAGGAAACCAGATTTTGATGGAATATCAGGAAAAAAAGTTCCCAACTGTTAGAACAGTATGAAAGTGGAACCAGTTCCTCAGGAGTTGGTGAGTGCTCCAACACCGTTGAATATCAGGAAAAAGTTCCTAACTTTTAGAGCAGTACGACAATGGAACCAGTGACTTCGGGAGTTGGTGAGTGCTCCAACACTGGAGGCATTCAAGAAAAACTTAGATAAACACCTGACAGATATGCTTCGATTGTATTCCTGTGCTGAGCAAGGGGTTGGACTTGATGGCCTTGTAGGCCCCTTCCAACTTCACTTTTCTATGATTCTATGACTTCTTTCACCAACTTGAACTGTTACGAAGCCACAACAATGTGGGGTCATATGTGGGGTCTGTCCATCCCATTGAGATCACAACAAAAAGATTTGGAAATCCATGCAAACACACACACACTGTTGAAGGGTTAGCCCCAGATTTATTAACTAACGAATTCCAACTCTTTGAGGACCTTTGCTTAGCTGTAAAGGAATTAATTGCATAGGACACTTCTTCATCTTAGTAAAAATGCTAATCTTTAAGGTGCTGCAGGACTCCGGGTTTATATTGATGAAGATGTTTGCATAATTTGTAGGGGAACAGACAATGTGGCTTCCCTGCTCCTCCTACCCTTGTTCAACATTCCCTTCTCATTCTTTTTGAAGTGATCACACTCTTCTACAAACTCCACAGGATTCTCTTCTCTTCCTGAGAACAGGTTCAGAGGGATCAAATGGACAGTCATGCCATGAAAAATGCCAATTCTGAATGCTTGTGACAGTGGTTTTATCCCTTTCTGGAGCCCAGAGGGGGCAAGCTGGATACAGAATGAGATTCCTTCAATTAAAGGATGCTGTCCCTCCACAGCTTCAGAGGATGAAAGGTTCCTCGCTTTGCTTCCGTTTCTTCTGTCTCTATGGGAGGTCTTTCTCTAGAATGGAAATCTACGGCCCATTTTCCCCAGGCTTGGCCAGATTGCCACCCTCCAGAAAGCACACCATCTGCGATGGGCTGTGCCATAGAGAAGACAAAAGAGTTAATTTGCACATTCATTATTCCATGTTTTTTATTAGTTTTGAATGGATGATAAAGCTTTTCAAACTGATAATAATCTTTTCCAAAAGGCTGCCCAATTATATTCATCTCTGCTCACAAGCTACAATACCAGACATATTCCATTCTATAGGAAACTGATGTGACCATTAGTCCATCTATTTCAGTATGGCCTAATTGGCTATAGGCTCTCCAATAATTTTCAAAAGGAGCCCCTTCCCAGCCCTGCCTGAAGAAGGTTCTTCCATACTACTAAAACCCAGGATCCTTTGGCCATGCTAGTGAGTCCAATTTCAGCAGCATGGTGAATCCACTCCGGGTTTTAGCATACATGTTACAGGAGATATTTAAGGTGCTTCAGTGTAGCCTAACTGGCTATAGGCTCTCCAAATTTTCAACAGGAGCCCCTTCCCAGCCCTGCCTGAAGAAGGTTCTTCCATACTACTAAAACCCAGGATCCTTTGGCCATGCTAGTGAGTCCAATTTCAGCAGCATGGTGAATCCACTCCAGGTTTTAGCATACATGTTACAGGAGATATTTAAGGTGCTGAACCTTGTTCCCCAAATGAAATCAACAAATTGAGTAACTCCTATAAAGTGCAGACTAAAATCCAGGGGCGGATTCACAACCACCCTGAAGTTGGAGCAGTGATGTGCTGAAGGTGTTTCTGCCAGGACCCGTTCTCATCTTTCTTCCCTAAGTGAAACTGCCTCCACCAGGTTTAGTGGAAGGTGCTCTTCTATCGACAGTCCAGTTAATATCTGTATATGAAATCAGGAAAACACCATCTTTTTCTTAGTCTTGTTAGGACTGTATCAACATTATCATCATCTTGGAACTGCAGAGCTGGAAGGGACCCTGTGGATCATCAAGTCCAACCCCTAGCAAGGAGACAGAGCGAGGAGTCAAACTCCTGACTTCTAACTCTGCAGCCAGAAACCTAACCTATGTTTGGTATTTCTATTGCTAGAATGCAGTAGACTACTGTAGCATTTGTGACTAATGGTAGCTTTCCATTTCTTCTCTTTCCCTTCTTCAGGCTGGCAGACTCTAACCATATTTACACAGAGATTAACTGGGCTCATGGGACGTGGTGGCGCTGCGGGCTAAACCGCAGAAGCCTGTGCTGCAGGGTCAGAAGACCAAGCAGTCGTAAGATCGAATCCACGCGACGGAGTGAGCTCCCGTTGCTCATCATTGATGGACCCTGTGGATCATCAAGTCCAACCCCTATCAAGGAGACAGAGCGAGGAATCAAACTCCT